TACATTTCCTTCTAGCGACTAGCAATGTTTGCCCCCTGACGATCCCAGAGTTCTTCGCGCAAACACGGGTATCCGATTACTGGCAACTCATTCATTCAAACATTTTAGTGGGCACAGGTGGCCCAAGCTCGCAAATGAGCTTCCCTGACATACAGTACTACTCAGGTTAGGCTAGAGACGAAAACTAAAAAGGAGCATGAATAAAAATATTTTAAAAACCTACCCTTAATTGCTTCGGCCTTGCTTCAGCTGTGTGTGTTTCCTCGTTTCTCGTGAGGTTCCTAGGTAGATTAATGGCCCTTTTGGTGATTTGTTTACCTTCACTGCTATGTCCTCTATGTAAGAGGAAGAAAGGAAATGCAGAGGACAAAGCAGTGAACCTAAAAATCACCTAAATTGCCATAAAACGGCCCACAACATTCAACATTCGCTCCTTTCGTGATCATCAAATGTGGCGCCCGCGTCTCAAATTTCCCGCTCTTTTGTCATCCTTGTACCAAGTGATAGAATGCATCCAATCAAATATAAATTTAAATATCGCTCCTCTCCCCTCCCCTCCCCTCCCCTCCCATCTTCGACTGAACTTCTCCCTGGAGGCTTTGCGAGTATATATCTTCGTTTCGCCGGCTTCGCCTCTTTACCTGTTAAATTTTGTTCTCTTTCATCAATACATAAGAGAGAGACGGAAAATAATTCCAGCAGCATGTCACAGGTTTGTTCAAATTGTGGTGGAAGTGACATCGACATTGATCAAGCTCGTGGCGATGCAGTTTGTATGGGATGTGGGTCCGTGCTCGAAGACAACATTATCGTCTCCGAGGTTCAGTTTCAAGAGAATAGTATCGGAGGTGCCAGTGCCATTGGACAGTTCGTCTCAGCCGAAGGTAGGAAGTCTGTTCTTCGAAAAATTCTATAGTAATCCGGAAAAGAAGTTGTCCTTATACAACTAGGTTTGTCTGAATCATCTTTTAATAAGACCGAAGACAAGCTAACGGTCGACTCAGGTGATCGTAAAATAGAAACTATCTACTTCCATTTTACACTTGAGTTTTTTTTTCTAACGGTAGATGTACATTTGTTTGTCTGAAAATATGCTTGATTTTTCTTGTCCTTTTATCTTCTCAAACTCTGACTCAGAGGAACATAATTTTGGAAGTGTCAGGAAGTTTATATTTTCTCGACGACACGTGGATGTGGCTCTCCTGTCGACTCTACAAACATTCTTTTTCGTATATCAAAGCGCCTTTTGGGTTAAAAAAGAAGAAGAAAAGATTTGTTACAAGTACCGGGAAATTTTGCGTTGATAGAAATGTGAGGATGGATACAGGATTTGAACTCAGGACAACCAGTGCGGCGAACGGCTTTGCAAGCGATGTTCATAACCATTTTGCCACGTAGGTCACGTGACTCGTATAAGATTAAAGAATTGTATTTATTGAAGAAGCATGGCAGCGTGTAAAAGAGACAAAAATGGTGCTAGTGCTCTACCTGCTATTCGCGAAGCTAAAAAGATTTCGTTTATAGAAACTCGTGATACGGACAGTTCTGGATCTTTTTCTGGCTTTAATTCTTTAGTTAAAGTATGTACATAATTTTCAGATGTTTTAAATTGAGATCCAGGCCTCCACTGTTTTGCCATGGCCACCTCACAGAGTCATTGGAAATTCCATTGGGGAGTGGAGTCTGAAAAGCCAAATGGGAAAGTTTGAGGTTTGCCTTCAAAATATTCCCAAAAAGAAGGGTTTCAAACCAATAACTCTCCATGGGAGGAAAAGCTCTGTAGATATTTTCTAAAGTAACAAATTATCATTTTGTTTGGTCAGGAAACAAAGCAGGAGTTGGTTTGGGATCTGCATTTCGCCATGGACTTGGTCAGGAATCAAGAGCAGTGACCCTTGAAAATGGTATTTCAAGCTTACATTTCTAATCATATTTTCTCATCAGAGATATCCTATCTTTCCACAAATATTAATCATCAAGGTAATCCAGGGAGGAGTTCAGTCTTTAGATTGCTAATGTTTCGTAGATTACAAGTTCCAGACCATGAATTCCAGATTCTCGCCATGGGAGTGGGGATAAGTGATTTACTTTGGTTTCACAGACTGCAGACTCCAAGGAGAACAAAAATTGGTTCGAAAAATCGCATAGTTCGAGAAACTGGGGGTAAAATTACAGTGTTCGACTGAGGAGAGGGAAATGACTTTTGTTCAAGTTATCAGGAGATTAAAAAAAATGAGGGTTCGAGAAATCGGGATTCCACTATACATTGATTCTGCTGCACATGTAACCATGTCAGGGCAAGTCATATAAAAATTCATGAACATTACTTAAATTAACTTGATAGAATGACAGTGGCATAGAGGAAGCCTTTGTAAAAATTCCATCATTTGAAATGTTATGTAATATTCTCCTCTCCAGTAAATGGTCCAATTAATACGATCCTTGCCAACTCTCAAAAATTAAATGGGAGTCATCAGGATACAGACTGGATATCCTGGTATAATTTGTATACTAGGTCATCAAATCTCCCACTGTACAAAGGAAAGAGCGTGAACTATTAAAATATGTATTTTCACACCTAATTTAGCAATTTGGGATATTTGATGTCAGTGTCTGTCTGGTTGAATCAGTAGAGAATAATATTCTCGTTACCCTGTTTTGGGGGATCAACAAGGGGTACAGACTGTACCCACATGGCAATCTCCCAGATTTCTTTTTTTTTGGGGGGGGGGACTTCAAACATTTTCAGATGATGATGGCAATGTATTATGTATACTATCTAGAAATCTTGACTTTTGTTTGACTTTGTCTTTAGGGAAGAGAAGAATAAACACTGTAGGTCACCAGCTGCAGATGAATCAGCATTGTATTGACACTGCTTACAACTTCTACAAGCTGGCAGTCAACAAGCGTCTTACCAGAGGCAGGCGAACAAATCATGTTGTGGCAGCGTGTCTGTACCTTGTATGCAGAACAGAGAGAACTCCACATATCCAAAATAAATTTCAATATTTATACTGTCCTGTACTAAATGGCATTCACAATAAATCATTTCTTTCAATACGTACTATTCACAGATTGTGCTGAGATTAAGAAGCTAAAGGTGTTATGTGCAAATGAAAGGGAAATTTATAATTATATATAACCTTCAAATTTAACTTTCTTGCTCAACAAGCCTTGTACATACATACATACATACATACATACATACATACATACATACATACATACATACATACATACATGTAACCTTTGTTAAAGGTCAAAAAATATTTAGCCAAGAGGAAACACCCCTCTTAAGTAAGTGGGGACATTTAAAATAATTTTTTAAACTCACTAACTATATTGCCTAATAGATTATTAAAAATGCCTATCTACTATTAACTTCCACCTGTTTGTGTCCTCTAAACCTCACTATCAAGCTGAATTTTAATATAATTATTTAAAGTGGCCTATTCAGGATAATTCATTTTTTACTAGACATTGTTTGACATCCCTCTGTTAGTTTTTCAAACCTCTTACCATTTCACCTGTCTTCCTCTCTGATTACCTGTAGTGCATAACAGAACTGGCAGCATGGTGTAAATAACAGTTACTAATGTTTTATGTCCTGTGGAAAGGTTTAACTTAAATGAAATAGAATTTTGTAGTGTGGAATGGACAATTTAACAACCTTGACACTGTACAGACATGTTGCTGGATTTCAGTGATGTTTTACAGGTACTAGGTTAATCATGCTTTGATAGTGGCACTGAAAGTCAGTTTAACTAATAGTTTTCGTTATCTTATGTAGAGTCTGAGGTATTATTATTCTGGATATCGCATGTTTACAATTCTTTGTAATATTTAAAATAAATCATATGTTGTCCTACAAAATTTCATCCCCCGTGCTATGGAAACTTTTTTTTTTGGTTCACTGACCTCTTTCCTATCCCCCTTGGGTACTGTAATTCAAGTTCAGTGATTAGCTTTGACTCCCTTCCTTCTTCTTCCCTCTGAATGTAAGCCTTCCTTGGTCAATTGGTATGGATATATTTCTTCATGGAACCTGACACATTATTTTCGTAATATCCAGTTAAAGTTACTGTGTACCCTCAGGGGTGTCTCCAGTACAATGGACGTATTGCCTTGCAGTTACATCACAGATACAGTACTGTAAACCCTATGTATCAAATTGAAGCTTATAAATCTGGCTATTCAAAAGTGTTACTTGATTTTCTGATAAATGAATTATAGAATGAAATCATGGTGATCATGGCTGCCTTTTCTTTTTGATTTGTGTGATCCTTATTAAACTGAGCTTCCATTATTTGACAGATTGATGTTTTCACCCTTGGTAGAGCATACCTAAAGCTGGCTCAAGAACTTTACATTAACCTGCCTGCTGTTGGTAAGGTCATGAGAAAATCACAATAATTCAGATTGCTTTCTACTGAACTTTTTACTTAACTTAAGATCTTTTTTTATGGAGACAGTGGTGTCCATTAATCTCAATGGTTTACGTAACTGTGTTCTTGAACATGACTGTGCTATGATATATAACCTATAGAGAAAAGACTGAAATTGGTCACTGTTAGGGATAAAGTACATTAGTATTTATAGAGTGCTTATACTGCACTTCAGATCCCTGCCTGTACATCCATCGTTTTGCCCATAAGTTGGAATTTGGTGAGAAGGAGCACGATGTTGCTGTGACAGCTTTGCGGCTTGTGTCCAGAATGAAGAGAGACTGGATTCATCATGGCAGACGACCTTCAGGCCTTTGTGGAGCAGGTTAGTGCTTAATGTTCATTTGTTATGTACTCTTAAACTGCAGATTGGCGGCAGTTAAATGTGTGCAACTTTGCTTATGAAAATGATGAGCGTATGTTTAAAAACAAGGTGCCATGGGCATGCTGCCTCCATTTACTCATGTCAGAAATCACTAATGATAAAGCACTCAGAGGCCCTTTCAGAAATTTCCTACTGAACAAATGTTTGCTAGTCCATCTTGTAGTAATACTTGTATGACAATGCATTTATTATCATAACTTCCTTTTTCATTTCATTGTTTAATCTGTTTTTCATTCAGTTTATAAGCTGCTTTTGCTACTTTTTAGTGTTAGCACCCACCTTCTATGAAATGGTTATTAGTTCATTCCCTATAAGTGTCTCCTAATTGTAAGAGGTTTGATTGCATTGCATCAGTCTTCCTTTATTTCATATCAGCTCTCTTAGTTGCTGCAAGATTACATGGATTTAACAGAACCGTGCGTGAAGTTGTCAAAACCGTTCGCATCAGTGATACCACTATACGAAAGAGGTTGGGTGACTTCCGTGACACGCCCTCCAGTCAGCTGACCATTGATGAATTTCAGACCATTGATCTTGAGGAGGAGCAGGATCCTCCGTCATTCACACAGGCCAGGAAAAGAGCAAAACAACAGCTTGAGGAGCTGAACAAACCAGAAATTGCTTCAGAACTGGAACAATTCCAGAACTCAATTGAGAAAATTTTAGGCATTGATTCCAAAAAGGACAAACCTGTCCCAGTAGATGAAAGTGGAAATACTAATGATTCAAGTAGGACTTTGGAACAAGATGTTACAAGAGATGCTAGTAGTGACACTTCACTTGTGGTTCCTCCCTTTGGCATAGCAGATCTGATGTCAAAGATTGACAATGTAGAAGGTACTTGAAACTACACTGAAATGGTCTTTGGGTTCCACTTCCAGCCACATTTGGAAGTCCAGCGAAAAGGTGGAAATCGAGCTTTAAGAGCTGGTTTTTCATCTTTCACGTTGTTGTGTTCAAGATCTTTTCCTTGGCACAGTTTTGTCTAGTATATTAGTATAAATCTACTAGCATTCTATCATGAATGCCATTCTCTGATTGGCTATGCTACTCACTAT